TTTATATTCCAAAACACAGGAAAAAAGATGACTGGAATGTCTATGTTTTACTTTAAAAACTATTTTTTTCCCTTCTGTAGAAGTTGGTTTTGAAAAAAGAAGAATTCCTGAAGAAGAATTTGTGGTGAGTGATTGTGAGGTGGTGACACTGAGAAAGCTTCCTTACTGTTATGAATTTGTGTACAATTTTCCAATGCAATCGATTTCCCCAGATTTTTATCAAAATCTCATGATAGAAGTATATCATCACCAGTAACAGCACCAATGCCAGTCCACTAAAACATGTGAATTACACACACACAATAAAGAACAATGCACCACAAGATTATACGACTGGCACAGACTTTGTAATAACACTGCTTGATGTCCAGCAGCCACATGCAGGAAGAAAAGCCTCAAGTACTCCCAGGCTTGGCTCTTGATTTGTTCTATGAGGTACATACAACCAACCTCATAGGTTTTCCAGGAATATTCAAATAAATACTTAAAAACGACCACAACAAACAACAGAAGGTCTTTAAGAGAGTTATCAACATGTGTAATTCTCCCTTACATCACTTAAAAAGTGGCACCATCATCTGTATTATAGATTAGAAAAAGCAGATTTATTTTCTATAGGGGCTCAATTCACTGCTCATTTGGTGATGTTCTAGGTGAAGAAATGTAACGAAAGAAATATAATAGTAATGTAGAAAATACAAAGAACATAACAGTTCCTTCTTTACAGATAAGCAGTATGAAATCATAAGCAAATATAGTACATCAGGAAAATACGGTCTACCCTCCTAACCATGAAATACAAAGCTGGCCTGTTTACTGAGCGCATTCAGGTGTCAGTTGCACATTAGCCCACTGCTATCTACTATATTAAAGAACACTGGTTGATTAGCAGCTCAAGTGACAAAAGTGAAAGTGTATGGGCAAAGGCTTCTTGCTATTGCTTTGTTTTTGTTATTTTTCCTAGAACAGTTTCAGACTCTTAAAGAAACCATATTATATCCTTTAGTTACCATCGTGAAGACCGTGTTCAAAATCTTACTGATACAAATTACACTTGCCTATTGGTTTTCCAGATATTATCATATTATTTTGAAGAGACAGTTAAAAATGTATTTTAAGTGCTTCTTCTCCTTTGCCTGGCTTTACTTCCAAAATAGTTACCTTTATAAGTTTCATGAGAAGACAGCCACCATCGATTCTGACCTGAGTGAAAGTTGACAACTTGCCATTTGATATACAAGATACATAGGTTCAAAAAATGACAGTGTTTGAGAATTCAGAAATGTTACCTATAGTAGGTTTATATTTCATAGTGACAGAAGTTCAAATGACTTCTCCAGATATCTGGAATGTTTTCTGGTACCAATTTAGTTCCTTGGGAATTAAAAATCTGATTAATTTATTTACTTGCTTAATACATTTTGTTATGGTGTATTCCCCATAGCAAATAATCTATATTAAATTTACATGCTGATTATTCAGAAATATAACATCACGATCTTTAGTTATGTTATCTATATCTAAACTCATTGTATAATTGTTTAAAATTAAAGAGATTGAAGGTGAAAATCAAATGAGTTGCAAATTGTTATGGACAGTAAAAAGAAGTTTTGAAATTAAGCTTGTAATAATAAATATATACAAAGATAAGATATCTCTTTTGCCTAAGGAAGATGGTAGATTCAAATAAGCTAATATATTACACTAGGGTGCGTGAAGAATCATTGAGAATTCAGTTTTAAGGAGAGTGGGGAAGAGAAAGAAAGAGGGAAGGAGAAAAGGAGGGAAAAGGGGAGAGAGGGAGGGAGGGAGGAACGGAGGGAGGGAGGAACGGAGGGATGGAGGGAAGAAGTGTTAGCTCTCTAGTTGACATGGCCCCCCTCTTTGCTTTTAGTTTTAGCCCTTTCAATTGGCTTTTGTACATACAATCATTTATTTGTGTAGGCTTTATCCGGGATGGAGGGAAGGAGGGAAGGGAGGGAGGGAGGGATGGAGGGAAGGAGGGAAGGAGGGAAGGAAGGGGCTCCCTAACTAACTCGCCCAGCTATGAAGGCTCAGGAGAGGCAGTATACTGAAGAGAATGTTGAATGCTTCTCTGATAGTGCTAGTAAACACATGTAGAACAATCTTCCAGGAAAACTGTCTTATTGATACATGAGAAAGTTTCCTAAAGCACACATTCTCCATAGTATGAGACCAAGCACTAACATTTTAGAATATATACGTACATATTTCATTGAAACTTAATCAGCAAATTATCACATTTGTACCAAGTGCAGTGAAAACAGTAGGCATGGGTGGCCTTCCACAGCTTGTAGTTTGTGGTGTTCTTACATAGAATCATTTTCTGTTTTACAGATGTCATTCTCCTCATTGATTCCTACACAAAACCCTGTTTAAGTCAGTCTCCCTTTCCACAGCTGGTTCACACTTCTGATTTTTCTTACTTTGCTAACAGGAATCAGCCTCTCTCATGCTATAGAATCAGTTCATTTATTATCTGTATTTGATGTCTGGCAAAATGTAAGTTGTCTGAGGGTCAGACTTTCTTCTGCTTGGTTTGCTGATAAACGAAGATGTAGTAGATCCAATAATCATAAATTCATTTGAATACAATGTTTTAAATAATTAAAAACTTCAGTGCTAATCTTGTGAAATAGATCATTAGAGCTAGAAAGTGTTTTATTAATTAATAGTCACCTGTTTATGAGTAGAGGTTAGGGTTAGGAACTAGGAAGGGGGGAGGGGTGGACACAGGACTTTATCAAAGTAGAGAGGAGAAAAGGCTTCAATCTCCAAGTTAGGATGGGCTGTTGGTATGATGTGAGAAATCAGAAGTTGTGGCAGAAGACATGTTGGAAATGCTGTCCTCCATCCTGCCAGAAAAGGATCCTTAGTATGGTAAAACTCTTCCATTAGATACCTAAGTCAATAGGCCTTGAGTATGTTTTTTTCAAGTATTCTAAGAAACATTAAAATGAAAATGTCTCTAGAGGAAGCATATGCAAGTTAGCTACTGCTAACTGATAGAAACACATGAGGCAGACAATAGAAATAAGCAAATATCATATGGAGTAGAAACACATGAAATGGACCAAGAGTACAACTGTAATGTTCTCCTGGAGGTGCAGTAATAACCGAGGCTTCAACTTCCACTTCTGTGAAGAGACAGTCCTACTTTCCAAGGTGTCTATATCACTACTTATAATTAATAGACACTTTGAAAGTAAGTATTCATTTATTAAAATAGAAAATTTCTGTGTTGCAGTTACTTGCAGATAAATTACAATACCAAATTTGAAAAGACACAACTAGCATCCAGGTTTATCAAAACCAAATCATAGTATAAATTTCTACCAGTAAATATAAACTGCTAGTTGAATTTTGTTCAAAAAAACTTACTGTTACTACATATGGCGTCACTTAAACTATTTGCTAAGCAATGTTAATAGGCTTTAAAAAATATTATATTTGCTTGAGCCAGAATTTCTCCTAAATATCACCCCTGAAAATCCTATGCATTTCCCCCATTTGACAATCCTAAATTAAACTCATGTTTTTAGATCCATTGACTGGTTACTTCTTGCTCCGCTTCCTGCAGTTCTGCTTGTCCCCTGTTCCAAATGAAACTTTTCATTTTTCATGACCAAATAGTTGCTGAGTGCTTTATCTTCAAAATTGGTTTCATTTGCCTTTGTCTAATCTACTACCATTACTTTAGTTCATGCCCTACCTTTCCTTTAAGTATTCTGCAGCATCTCATGATTAGGACCTGTACTTTTAAACTCTCTTCATGAAATCTTTTATAGACTTTCACATTAAAACTTTTCCTAATGCATACATTCTTATCAAGTAGTTCCCTGGTTCAAAAACCTTCAGCAGTGTATTATTACACCTGAGGGAAAAAGTCTAAGGTAATTAATATAGCATTAAAATATTCTATCATATGATCTCATCTATGTTGTCAGCTTTATTTCTTAGTACTTCTTATTACTGCTATCATTCTTCAATTAATCCTCTGCACTGCCTATTATCTATGGACAGTCTATGCTTCCCAGATCCTGGAATGGCCTTTCGCCTTTTTCTCTACTACAGCCATGCTAACTTCGCAAGGTCTAGGCTTATCAATCTTTTCCTTTATATTATATTATCTTTATCTCTCCTGTTTCCTTAATTTCTGCTTTCCCTTGGAACATTTTTGCTTCTCTCCTATTTAGTGCACTATGACTTATGCAATAGTTTGGTTTTACATATTTCTTCTTGACTTTGGGTCAAGAGTAGTATAACAAAATGATCAAAAGAGTTTGAAACAGATGCCAAGCAATCTGTAAATTAAATAAGATGAGAGCATCAAAAACATTCTCCTTGCTATTTCTGTTGTTCATACCTCCCCTGCCTTGCTACCTTAACTGTTCTGATTTAAAAAGTGAGCCATTTCCTGCATTTTAGATGAGACAGAGCAAGGAAAAGATACTATCATTCTGAGTACTCCATTCTTTCCCACTAAGTGGAGACAGGGGATGGGGGGGGAGATGCTTTTCAGAGGCAACTACAAAAAAGCTTTTATACAGAAAAATGCATTGTGCCTCAATTGCTTATTAGAAAAAAAAATACTGTTTTCAAAAGTGTTCAGAATCAAGCCAGGCATGGTGGTGAATGCCTTTAATCCCAGCACTCTAGAAGAAGAAACAGGTGGATTTCTGTGAGATCAGGGCCAGTTTGGTCAAGTTCTGGGCCAGCTGTACTTACAGAGAGACCCTGTCTCAAAACAAAACAAAACAACCAAAACAAGTGCTCAGGATTTTACTTCTCAGAGTCAAAACAAAGCTCAGGAATAATTCAGTGCCACTGAGATGAGCAAAGTTTTGACCGAAAAGCAATTTCAAGCCCTTCATTTTTCAGATGAGGAAACCGAGAGAAAGTGTTATTCCTTCTTATGTTTAGAGATAAGAAAAATGTTGAAATCAAATTGCCATGTTCATTGGCAAAGCAAAGGATATTTCCCTGGCAATGCGGTTCCAACTCGGTAGTCCGTGTAGCTCTTGCTTGGGTGGAAGTTGAAAATAAAAAGAAGACCTGCTCTCTCAAAAGTGATGATCTTATTGTCTTCATGTTTTTCACTCACGTAGGCCTGAAGGAATGAACACATATTACATGCAATGGCTCCTAGATGCTGCTACAAGGAAATGCTTTCCTAAAGGTTGTTTTGTGTTTCTCGATAGCTTTGTTCATTATTATGCCAATAATGAAATTCCTAAAATTTGTATCATTTTACACATCCTATTTTATCAAATAGGTTAAAAAATTGATTAAATAATGCAAAATTCACACTAACCACTTAGAATGCAAAAAGAAGATTAGTTTTGTGGGCTAGTTATGAAATAAAAACATGATGTCTACATGGATAACATTTGTATACATCAGATCTACTTATAAGTCAATTTTCTTTAAGACTTTTGTATTAGTGTCCAGATTAATGTGGTCAAGCAAATGAAATTATTTTTCTAAAGTGAACAGAATATTGTTATTATATCCAATTTCTGAAATTATAGTTACTCTAAAATTCTCACATTTTTATACAACTCTCTCAAGATTCAATAGCAACCTAGAGTCCATTATAATATGCTGGCTACTTTTTCTTAATAAACAAAAAGGTCTGAAAAGAAATTACATTTCTAAACTCCCTGATTGCATACATTGTGTTTAGAGACGCTTTGAAAAGCCTTTGCTATTTCAGCTCCACCCTCACCCAACCTCAGGATTACAGGATTTACTGCCATGCATATTAGCAGCATCCCCCTTGATAATTTAAATAGGTGAACGAAGGCTCTAGAGTAAACAGTGAACATTTTGGTATTCAACTTTGTTCCTATTGAAAAGGAGCATCATTTTGCTCTCTCTTCTGGAAATAGCATTTCTAGTAAACATGATTAGGGAATATGTGTCATGTAGTCAGTCTTACTGAATATATAAATACCTTTGTTCAGCCACTAAAAATAAAACAAACAAACAAAAAAACAAACAAAAAGCAGACACCAGAGTAAAAACACATCAACAGTAATTTCAAGCAGTACCAATAGGAAGTAAATGAATTATAAGTAAAGAATACTATATGCTAATTTTTGCAAGAAAAATGCCTGTATAAAATTTGCACCTGTTAATTACATTTTCTCAAATGTATTGAAAACTGAGACTTTAATTCCAGAGGAGAGTCAGACTCATGCAAAATACAAAACAGCATGCAGGTGTAATGGCATCTACTGAAATGACAAGTTAGAAACTAGTAAAGAAAGGCAAAAAAAGGAATAAAGAAATCTCTGTGTTATCAAAGTAGTTTCTTTATGACAACATAATTATTCACATAAAGGAGAAACAGTCAAAATAATTAAGATGTTTCCCCAGCAGTTTCCAAAATGGATTTCACACAGAGCTTCTGCCATTTACTTTTAACAAATTGAAATAAAAATTACAAAATTTAAACAACAACAACAACCAACTAACTGGGAAACTAAACAGGGCAGTATTTTGAAGACTTTCATTATCTATTAGAGATACTTTTGTGGCATGTTTTGACAGCCTGAAATATGTCACAGGGCACTGTACTCTGAATAACAAAGTGCTGCTTAGAAGATTCGCATATAGATTTAACTCGATTGCTAGTCTAAGCATGTACAACACTGGTGACTAAAACATCACACTTAGAGTAAAGAGCTTACCTGTGGAGCTGAAAGCCAACCACATCTCTCTTCTAATCTATTCATATCTCGGTCAAAGTTATTTAGGAATTTATAGCGAAGAAGGTCATCATCAGTTAAATTAAACTGCCTTCTGGCATAATGGTAACTCTCATTATTTCCTTTTCTTGGGAAGTCTAACCACTCAGGATGCCCGAATTCATTACCTGCATTAAAACAAACAAAAAGGACTTCAAATGTAAAAATTAGCTAGAAATAGTAGCTTTTCTTACTAACAACTCATTTTAAATCCTTGAAAATATGGAGTTATAGAGTTAGTAGTTTTGATAAAAATAATAAAATAAAATAAGTTTTGACAATAATTTACTATATAAATTATTGTATGAAATAATTTGTTTTGCAAGCATTGTACTAAATGTACTTGTTTTGCAAGCATTGTACTAAAGTTTAAATCTTCAGCCTCCACATAAAAAACTAGGCATGGCTGTGCATACTATTAATTCCAGCATCTGGGTGTAGAGACAGAGGGATGCCTCCAGCTCACTGGCCTGTCAGCCTAGCCAAATCAGACCACTGCTGATTGTGTGAGAGACTCTGACTCAAGGCAGTAAGGTGAACAGCAGAAAACAAGTGGTATTGTCCTCTGGACAGCCTCCATTGGAACACAGAGGAATACACACATCCAACTAAGAGCTGCACACTTGGGTTTCTTCAGGCTCAACTTAGGACAATTCAATCCACCACACTTATTTCATTTTTAAAATAATCTAGGAGACATGAGGAAATTTTAGAATCTCTATTTCTATAATCTCTGAAATCTGTGCAATGGTTTATAATAGTCAAGTGCTTTATATGCATAGTATTTTTTTTTTTATCCTCAAAGGAACTCTCCTAGTATATTCATTCCACAGATGACAAATCCAAAGCTTTGGATTAAAATCCAAAGACTAAAATCCAAAGATTTTTCTACCATACCACATGAGCAAGTGTGTTGTAAATTTCATGTGTTATAGAAATTTAAACAATGGGTACTTCTAGTAATTATTCATATTCCTTTTCAGATCCCCTGCTTACTTTAGACATACATGTATAATTGTGTGTGTGTGTGCATGCACACACACATGAGCGTGTTGCATGTACAGTTGAGATACCAGGTTGGTAATCAATTTAAATATTATCTCTCACTATAATGAGGAGAAGTAGAAGCCAAATATAATTCTTAAATAGTAAGCTTTTCTAAGAAACTGTATAATTTAACAACTTAAGTCCAAAGTCGTAAAAATAATTCCAAATAAAGTTTCTGCAAGCACTTCACTACTCTAATATTTCAGTTTAAATGAAAATGTTTCTTATGATGTGTGTATGTATAGCATATCAAAAGAAAAGCAGGTTTCTGACTTTGTAAACCTATGCTAATATTAAGATGCTTTCCTAGACAAGGATCACCTTTCTGGTACACTTAAGATTCCTGTCTGTGTCTGGGGCAGACCCTATAACCCAGAGTATACACACAGAAAGTTTACCTCACCAACCACTCAACTGGTAGATGTAGCTCTAGAACTGGAGCCAGAACATTTTATTTATTAATAATGATGAGATCACCAGAATGAGGAAGAGTATATGGTCAAATAGCAATCTGAGCACAAGAGGAATTGTACATAGTAGGTTACTTAAGAGGGATCAAGAATATCAAGAGTACACGAATGAATATTAGTCTACAAACTGAATTCAGGTTTTCTATAGGCAAAATGATTTTATTTTGGTATGGCAACAGATTTCTGACAAGTCCTTTGGACTTCTTCCTGAGGACAGAGTTATGTCATCTTTGCCTTAATCATAGAAGAGAAAATCACAAATGCCTAGTATCTGCTGACGATATACTAATCACTACTGTGATCACTGTCTATTAACTAACTGTTGCAACTGCGACATCCCTGTGAGAAAGGTACTGTTATTTTCATACTTTTATTCATAAGGAAATTTAGACATAATGAATCCATATAGCAATTAAGTATTTACAAGTACAAACTCTATCTGATATCAGCACCTTGACTTTCATTTACTACTGTTCTGTACTGCTTAAAAGAAAGTACTAGTAAAATAGTATAGCCACAAAATAGTTTTTGTGTTGAAGAACTACGGACATGGGCAACAAGCCCCAATCTTAGTCAAAGAATTATTGGAGGCTGATTACTACTGGGTGAGGAAGAGCTGATATTCTTAAAGGGAGGAATTCGAGATAGATTGACTAAACCTCTGTGAATGAAATTGCACTGAGGTATGTCTGGGGACACTGAATGACACAATAGATCTTAACACAAATGACAGAATGTATGAATTCCATTGGGGAGGGGGAGGCTAGGGGAGGGTGCCGGTGGGTAAGGGGTATAAAGACGATTAAGATTTATTAAGATGTTCTATATGAAGATCTTCTTCTAGTCTTGGGCACAGGCCTACTTTTGCTCTTAGCACCTCAGATCTCTGGACTACCCTCTAAGTTCAGATGTGCCCACTACATCCTGACCTCCCTGCACCCAGAACAGCTCAATCCTTCAGTCTAGTTTCTTAGAGCCTTCACAGGCTGTCCCCAGCCCCAATTTGCCTTTGCACACCTGAGACCAGCCTTCTATCCTGGCTGTCCCCACCCCAAATTGCCTGGGATTCTGGAGATCAACCTTCTCCCCTGGTAAGTCTGATCCCACCCACTGCACCTTGACTACCCCACAACCTGAGCAAATCCAATCACCGCAACCACACACCCTGTTCTCCTTTTAGCCTTGGGCACAGGTAGACTTGGGCTACCCTCTTAGTCCAGATCAGCCCACTATGTCTTGATCTCCTGCACTCAGACCTGCTCCACTTTTTAATCTAGTTTCTTAGAACCTTCACAGGCTGACACCACCCTCAACTACTCTGCACTCCTGAAATCAGCCTTCTACCCTGGCTGTCTGCAACACCAACTTGCCTTGAATTCCCTAGACCTGCTATGTCTGATCCTATCATAGCACTTTGATTCTTCCACAACCAGAGCAACTCCAGTCTCCCAGAGCCCACACCCTGTTATCCTTGGGCACAGTCCCACTTCTGCTATTACCACCCCAGATCTCTGGACTACCCTCTTAACTCCACGTGAAGGTGAACTTTGCAAACTGTGTCCATCCCTCGACTGGGACGATGTATAGCCCCTCGCACTATTGCAGGGCTAGGTTTCCCTGCCCTTCAGTAGGAGCCCAGACCTTTGAAGACTGCCTGAGATTTCCTGAATCCAGCTTCCACCGAGCAAGCTTCCCAAATTGTGCTGTGCCTGCTGACTAGAGGGGCCCAGACATTAGAAGGAAACCTAAGAGCATCTGATTCTCACCCGAATTGGGCCTCTAGACTTGAACACAGAGTTCTCAAAGTAAGAAATAAAAAATGCTAAGAAACACCCTAAACAGTGCTCAATACCCTTAGCAATTAGAAAACTTCAAATAAAAACCACTTTAAGATTCCATCTTACATAGTTATATTGGCTAAGATCAAGAAAACAAAAGGCACCAAATGTTGGAGAGGATGTGGGGAAACGGAATGCTCATCCACTGCTGGTGGGATTGCAAACTTGTGAAACCCCTATGGAAAGCAGGGTGGAGAACTCATAAGAACTCATAAAATCTCATAAAGCTCATAAAAATACTAAAAATGCACCTACTATTTGACCCGGTTATACCAATCCTTGGCATATATCCAAAGCACTCTTCCTATTGCAGAGATAATGTATATCCATGTTTGTTGCACTCTATTCACAATAGCTAAGAGATGGAAGGAACCTGTGTCCCTCAACTGACGAATGGATAATGAAAAGGTGGTATATTTACACAATGCAGTTCTACTCAGTGGTAAAGAAAGATAAAATCATGAAATTTGCAGGTAAATGGATGGAACTAGAAACTGTTATACTAAATGAAGTAACAAAGATTCAGAAAAACAGTTGACATATGTTCTCCCTCATATGTGGATCCTAGCACAAAATCCTTATATATGAGTATGTATCCAGATACAACTGCAGCAATCAGGAAAATGAAAAAAACAGGGAAGTAAAGGGAAAGAAACAACCCGAGAGCGAAGAGTAAGAGGAGAAGGTTACTAAGGGAGAAATAGATAAAAATGGAGGTATTTAAATGGGAGGGGGGAGGGAGGGCTGTACAAGGAACCTTGAGAATAAGGGAAAGAAGGAGTTCAAGAGAGATGGGACCATATGAGACTGTTATTATAAAGAGAGAAATGAGAAAATGGGGACACTTTAAGTGGGGGAAGTCATGGTGAAGAGTTAGGGAGAGAGGAGAGATAAATAATGCCTAGCTAGTTAGAAAAAAGCCCAGAGGAAATAATATTAGTCCAAAAACATAATGACAAATGACATGTACAATATCTCTACATGAGTCCATGTGTATAGCTAAAGGCTACATAACAAGAAACAATCCCAGACATGAGAAATCTCCCTTTAAGTTATTGGCTAGGGTGGTCGAAGATACTCCCCAAATTACACAAGCTATTGCCACAGCCTTTTATTGCCTCACAGAACTTGAAGGTAAGACCCTGCTGCTGAAGACAGAACATACTTTGGACACAGGATTTGGAGCAATAGACCTGGAGCTGGCCTGGAAGCCATTTCCCCAGAACGCTAGCTCTCATAGCTTTGGAGAATCTTATGAGGGTGCCAAGGGAAAACATCAATCTGTGGTCCAACACCAGTTTCAAGATCAAATAACCACATCAATGGCCAACACAACATAAGGCATTTATCTTGGGGACAATCAATAACTACCTAATTGGACTAAAAGCCCACTCAATGGGAGGACACTCAAATGTGATATGGTAATCATAACCAAATACATATGGCTGGAGAGGTCATGGATCTTAGAGAAAGTCCCAAGACTGTCACATCCCTACACTAATGTAATTTTTTACTATAGGCAAAATATGTATTCTTTTATTTACAGACAAATATCCCAGTCACCACTCATCAAAGAATCTTCTTTTGTACCAGATTGAGACTCTTACCAAGTACCACAACTGGTCACACAAAGACATTGTCTATGAATTTCCCAGGCATAAGTGACACATCCACAATGCAACCTCTAAAAGGTTCATGGAACATAGAACATGGATAAAGAGGACACTAATAAATCTCTCAATTCTCATTAATAAAGCTCCCTAATGTAACAGG